CAGCCCGATGACATAAGTACTGTTACCATTCTCAGTCTGTTAAAGAGACAGAAGTTTCCAGAGTAATTTAGAGAAGCAGAGGAAAGGGACAGTGGTCGATATTGGAGGTGTGCCCCCTCACCCCCACCCCACCCCACCCCTACTCCTCTTGGACTCGCACGCCTTGGAGCCCGTGCGTGAATTCAGGAGCATGTCATATGGCCCAACTGCAGAGTGGAAGGCTGAACCAGCTGGTGGGCCTGCTTGAGCAGGCCAAGTACGACAGCTGCTCTGCGAGGGGCACTGCCCAGTTGGAACACCCGTGGTAGCCGCGTCCTGGAGGCACCCTGCTGGATGGCAGAAGGAGGGCACGGGGCCCTCTGGGGAGCATGTACTTTATCTGCTAGCTTGGAAATGTTCCCGAATTTTAACAGCGCCAGAGAATAGGCCTAAACAGCAGCCCGGGTTTTGGGTGTCTTCCCCATAGGCTCTGGGCTGCCGGTTCCTCCCTTCTGCCCTTGAGTCAGAGGTTTTGATCCTATTCAAATGTAAATTCTCCTGAGCACCTACCTGATCCTTCAGCCAGAGGTTGAAGTGAATGGGAATCTCAAAGTGTCACTCTAAAGGGTAGAGTCTGGGGAGAAGGAGGCTTTTGGAGCATCTAGGAAATTTGCACTGAGTACCCACTTGGGCAAGGCCCCGTGATGGCTGCGGGATTTAGCCGTGAGCGCATCACAGTGGCACAGGGACCATAACCAGATAACAAGTAGTAGGTCAGAGATGTCACAAACCTGGAGAGGCAATTTGTCCACCGGACGCAGAAGCCACTGGGGAAGCAGGCCTGGGCTCCCACTGGGATCCCAGGGCCCTGGGTGCATGCTGGTCCTTCCAACCTTCCCAGCTGGCTTCTCTACAAGCCATTCTTGACTCCTAGCTTGTGGGCGGCTCCTCTGGCTGCCCCAGCCTAAGGCAGGCGGCCAGGGCTTCCCAGAGCAGGGTGTGGAGCTAGGAAAGGAACAGAAGAGCCATTGAGCTGCATGCAGAGTTGCCACCTGGGCACCCACGGGCTGGGGTTGGGAGGCCCACGCCAGCCTGGGAAGGGTTGTGGCTCCAGGAACCAGCCCAGGACTCTGGTGGGAAGGACATTGTGTAGTTCTGACCAGTGAGGGAAGGGGCAGAGGGTCTCCGTGGAATGAGCACATAGGGCTCGACCCCCATTTGGGGGTTGGACCAGCTTCCTCCACTCACTGAGCTGCTTCTGGGGCATAGCTTCACCTGGAAAGACTGGGTCCGTCTATACGGCCCACCCCACCCACCCAGATTCCTCCTCCTGAATGAACAGAGGAAAGTGCCTCCTTTGTTCTTCCTGTTTTGCGTGAACAGATTTAACACATATTTACTAAGAGCATTCAGGCTCGGGAGATTTAGCCAGAAACACAGTTCCTACCCTCAGGAAGCTCACAGTCTACAGGAAAACACACATTTACCGTGAAACACATTTAATACACAGTGCCATGACAGTCCAGTACAGAGGAACCTAACGGGCCCGGGAGAGTACAGAAAGACTTTCTGGGGCCTGGCAGGTGGTGTGGTGGTTAAGGGTGCTGGACCCTCCATGGCCAACCCACATGGCTAACTGTGGTTCGAATCCCAGACCTGGTGGCTTGCTTTCTCACTTTCTTTCTCTCTCACTCTGCCAGCCTAAGGCAGGCGGCCAGGGCTTCCCAGAGCAGGGTGTGGAGCTAGGAAAGGAACAGAAGAGCCATTGAGCTGCATGCAGAGTTGCCACCTGGGCACCCACGGGCTGGGGTTGGGAGGCCCACGCCAGCCTGGGAAGGGTTGTGGCTCCAGGAACCAGCCCAGGACTCTGGTGGGAAGGACATTGTGTAGTTCTGACCAGTGAGGGAAGGGGCAGAGGGTCTCCGTGGAATGAGCACATAGGGCTCGACCCCCATTTGGGGGTTGGACCAGCTTCCTCCACTCACTGAGCTGCTTCTGGGGCATAGCTTCACCTGGAAAGACTGGGTCCGTCTATACGGCCCACCCCACCCACCCAGATTCCTCCTCCTGAATGAACAGAGGAAAGTGCCTCCTTTGTTCTTCCTGTTTTGCGTGAACAGATTTAACACATATTTACTAAGAGCATTCAGGCTCGGGAGATTTAGCCAGAAACACAGTTCCTACCCTCAGGAAGCTCACAGTCTACAGGAAAACACACATTTACCGTGAAACACATTTAATACACAGTGCCATGACAGTCCAGTACAGAGGAACCTAACGGGCCCGGGAGAGTACAGAAAGACTTTCTGGGGCCTGGCAGGTGGTGTGGTGGTTAAGGGTGCTGGACCCTCCATGGCCAACCCACATGGCTAACTGTGGTTCGAATCCCAGACCTGGTGGCTTGCTTTCTCACTTTCTTTCTCTCTCACTCTGTCCCTCTGTGGTCAAATTAAAATAAATAAAGAAGTAAATAAATTTTTTTTAAAAGTTAAATAAAATGATTCTTGAAAGAAAGAAAGAGAAAGGCTTTCTGAAGAAAGAAACTAATCAATAAGGGTTAACCAGTCCAGGAGGAGTAGGAAAGTGACCCGGCATGGGGAAAGCCTTTGAGGTAAGAGCATAGTTCTCTCAGGTGACGAAGTGACCCAACGTGGGTATAGAGAAACCAAAGGGGAGAGTGGAATCCTTTCCAATCTTTTGAACTTGCTTCTTGCCTGCCTGCCTACCTGCCTGCCAGAGGGCAGAGAGGGACAGAGAGAGTAAGTGAGCAAGCGGGCAGGCTCCAGTAGGGCCTGGTCATGCTGCCGCCTTCTTCCTCTATGTCTCCATCATCAGCACCTTGGGCATGCATACGCCCCACTGGGACTCTGACTCTGGTCCTGTGGGATCGGCCTCTGCACTGAACTGCTGCCCTATGGGGCCGGCCCTGTACTTCTCTGGAAAGCAGTGGAGAACCGTTGCATGGTTTAAGGAGAACGTGGCTCTTGATTCGGACACTACGGTGGCTGCCACGTGTGAGTGTGAGGCTGGGTGCTGACCGTCAGAAGCAGCAGCAGTGGTCTGCCTTGGTCAAGGAGTGGGGCTGTGGGTGCCTGGGAGGAAGCAGTTTGGTGGGGTTGGGGGCTGGAGTGCATGGATCTCTTTTCTCTCCTTCCTGGAGGAAGGAGGACTAGAGGAAAGGCTCCGAGAGGAGGCAGGGAGTGACAGAGGAGCCATAATTCTCTAGTGCTTGCTGTACTCCAGGCATGTACTGGAACTGAAGAGGCAAAAGCGACAGAGAGCTCCAGGCTAGTGGGTGATCTGCTGGGGATGGGGCGATCTGAGACGGTGGTTACCCCACAAGAAGGCAGAGCTGCCAGGGAGGAAAAGCAGCAAGGGGCTCGCCTGGCACAGTGGGAGCTGAAGACCTAAAGGGCGAGACGGTAGGAGCCATTGGGATATGCCTGAGAGACCCTTAGAGGGGTGAACAGGATTGAAGGAACATGCAGGAGGCGTCTCCGAGGTGGGGAAGTTCTTTCTTCTTCTCTGCCTTGCTAGAAGTTCCCATTCCCAGGTTCTCTAACCCATAGCCCTGAACCAGCTCAAAAACAAAGCTTAGACTGAGATTTGGGGAAAGAGAATGGCCCTTCCTCATGCCACAAGCCCCGGAGTCACTTCCTGTCATCACATGTCAGTCCAGTGGAGCTAGCTCCCAGGTACTGGCAGTCCTGGGTGCCAGTCCCCCAGGAGAAGCCCGTGCCCTGCTTAGAGAAAGGCTCTATTGTCCTCTGTTGCACCCCGCCCTGAGCACCTTGAGGGCTTCTGCAGGGTGTGCAGCTTGCGGTCTGCCCTGCCTTGACTGGTGCTGGGACACAGGGGTGGCCGTGAACCACTTTGAGATTCAGAAGGGGCAGCATGGGAAGTGGAGGCCCAAGGCCAGGTCTTCCCTGTGTCCCTCCAGGAGCCAAGGGGATTTCACAGACCTCAGGGCTGTCCCAAGGCATTTTCTGCAGGGACAAGATGCCCCTGGTGGCAGGTTGTCAGCCTTCTGGACAAAGGGCAGTTGGTTCCCTCACTTGCACTGGATGGTCTTGGGCAGCAGCAGTCCCCCACCTTCCTGGCACCAGAGACCAGCCTCATGGAAGACAATCTCTCTACGGACTGGGGGTGGACCCAGGATGACCCCAGCACACCACACTACACCCACCATGCACCCCACCACTACCACATCGCAGTATGCAATGAATCACACAATGATAGGGTTCGCACTCTCATGAGAATCCAATACTGCAGCTAATTTGACAGGAGGCCAAGCCCAAGCAGCAATGCAAAATGGGGAGCGGCTGCAAACCCAGACAAAGCCTTGCTTGTGCCCCACCCCCCACTGCATGGCTTCAGAGAAGGGTCAACAGACCAGGGACTGATACTGGTCCACAACACAGGGATTGGAGACTCCTGCTCTTGGGCCTGTTGTTTCCTAACTGTCCTGTGCCACCAGTTCCTTAAAACAGGGAAAAGAATACCCCTAGGCCCAATCACAGAACCGTGCAAAGCAAGCACACAGCTTTCCTCCCCTGATGGTCAGCAGCCATTGTTTGTTCAGCACCCTGGTCGGCACGGGCTAGGCCGGTCTCTGATTTGCCTCACTGGCCCCTGCTTACCCTCTGAAGTCTTCCAGCACCTTTGGAGCCAGTTATCTGGATGAATTCCTCCTGTGGCACCACCAGATGTAGGCTCATGTACTGCTTGGGCCCAAGTCAGCCTCATCCTGGTCTTTCAGCCTAGGAGATGGCCCAGAGGCACAGAAGTAGCAGAAACGGAAGAGGAAACAGAAGATGTCCCACTTGGTTGGCAGCCCAGTGCTGGCATCTGCCAAGAAGGGCAGAGCTGTCCCTGTCCAAGCTCAGTGCCTGCCCTCAGGGTCCTGGGGCTCTGGGTCTAAGGCAGTTTAGCCGGGACTCTTGTTCCCATGGCAGAGCGCAGGAGAGAAGCAAGCTGCCACTGGCTGCCTACAGCCTGCTGTCTGCGCTCTCCCCCGACAGCTGGCAATCCTAGAAGACTATGCGGACCCATTTGACGTTCAGGAGACCGGTGAGGGCTCAGCAGGGGCTTCAAGAGCCCCAGAGAAGGTTCCTGAAAACGATGGCTACATGGAACCGTATGAGGCCCAAAAGATGATGGCTGGTGAGTACCGGGGGTGGGGAGGGGCGAGGGGCTGGGTGGGCAGGTGATCCCTGCAGCCCAGGCTCTGAGATCCACAAGTCCAAGGACTGATTCCTTGGTCTCTAGAAAATATGGGGAATGTTGGGGCCAACAGGTGATGTGGTGGTTAAGGCACTGGATTCCCACATGACTAACTGAGGTTCTAGTCCTGGACCTATGGCTCAAGAATCACACCAAGGGGACCAGCAGTTAGCGTAATGGCTATATCGCTGGACTCCCATGTAGCCGACCGTGGTTCGCATCCCAAACCCAGTGGCTTAAAACTCACGCCAGGCACATGTGCGTGTGTGCCCAATATCCCAAGAGGAGAATGGAGGAGAAGGGATTGTGGCATGGCCATCCTCCCTAGGGGGTGATTTCTCGCCTTCTGTCTCTCTGTCTTTGTCTGTCTGGCTAGCGCACACACCCTATAGCAAAAACCTCTCCAAAAAAAAAAAAAAAAAAATCAACCCTGAAAAAA